ATATGAATGTCCTTAGGATCATGGGTAGAGCGGTAGCTCCTTCCTTTGTGTCTTTTGGTTGATTTCATTTGTCTATTTTTCCCTTTTTTAGAAATAGCAAGCTTGTGGATAGGAGCAGGGGACACTGGACCCGGTTTCCAGACAGCCTCCATGGGGCTTGATTCTTCCTTCCGGGTTGAGATGTGGAGGGATTCCCGGCCTCCTTTGCATTTATAATGGAATCATGCTATTTCTCAAAAAAAAAAAAAAAAAATTGGAACGATAGACAGAAGGGAAGATTAGCATGGCCCTGGCGCAAGGATGACAAGCATAAACCGCAAAACTGGTCCAAATTTTGAAAAAACAATAACAAGGAAAAAGGCTTAGTGCTAAGGGAGGAAAGTACGCAACTTTCGTCATCTCAGTTGCCTCCCCACACCACTCTGGAAATGTGAAAAAGACAAAAATGGGGCGGGTGCATCTGGTCATGTTCTAGCGGGATTCCCATTTTGCACATTTCGAGAGAGGTGAGGCGATGCCCTTAGTTGCCTCCGCCCCTAAGAGGGGGGGGGTTGGTCATCTTCCTGGGGCTGACCAAAAAACCGCGTCGGGCCCCCTCCCAGTGGTGTTTTTTTTTTTCTTCTAATGCCAGATATGGATTGCTTCATGTGTTATCTTTCTTCCCAGGCACCTCTGTGGCTTGAAAGAGTCCCTGTCTTTTTAAGTGTGATTGGGCCAAGCTCCACTACACAACACTCTGGATATGAATTTGGACGATTTCTGGAACAGATACATTAAAAAATGTTCGAGTCATTCCAATACTCCTGGTCCAGAAAGCGTCCAGATGCATGAGTGCTGTGTGGTGGAGCGAGGCCCATTCACTCACCTTTACCGGGATGTGAAAAACAGGCGTGGTCTTGATAGATTAACGCACTTGTGATTGATTTTAAAAGTGTGAACTTCGCACCAAGGGGCCTAGCTCAGTTGGTACACCCCTGACCTGTTGAAATACAGACTCAAGTTCGAATCCAAATGCCCTCAGATGTGAAGAATAAAATCATTCTGAATTGCCTGGGGCCGGTCAGTTCAATGATGATATCTCAAGGCCGTCGCCCTTTCAATAAAAAAGAATAAAAAATAAAAAAAGTGTCAACCTAGGCTACCAGCCGGGCCGCCCGGGTCCCGGGTGGCCAGCCCGTGCAAGCACAAGGGAGGGTCCCAGCAAAAAAACAAAAATTCCAAAAAATCCGAAAAAAGCTATGTTATGCAGAAAAATAGACTGAACAACTTTTGCCTCAGGGTCACATCAAAATTCTTTACCAGATTTAAAATATAAAATAAAAATTTAAAATATTTTTTTATTTTCTTTATTTTTTAAATCTTTTTGGTCCGGCCGGGCAAGTGACCCCGGGCCACTCTGGTAGCCTAGGTGTGAACTTTAAAGACGAGAAAAACCCGCTTGTGCTTGATTAAGTAATTCAGGTTTAAAGAACCCGTCGTCTTTCCTCAAACCAAAATGACAAAAAATAAAAATAAAAATAAAAATGGTTTAATCTCCCCGCCATGTCCCAAAATTAGTAGCTGACCACAAATATTTATGCAACGGGCAAATCATACGGCGTTTACTTATTCGATATGCCAAGCACAAGCTTACTCTGAGTCATCAAGCTCTTAACACCCCCCCCTACCTCCTGCTCCCTCCCCTCGACCCCCCTCCCTTCTCCCCCCCACCTTCCCTCTTCTCCTCAGCCCGTGAGAGGGTAACTCCTCGCCGATAGATTCACAGTACATACGCGCTCTGCCTCGCGCCCATCCTCTCTCTCTCTCTCTCTCTCTCTCTCTCTCTCTCTCTCTCTCTCTCTCTCTCTCTCTCTCTCTCTC